CCTAGGGAAGGCTATTTGTGATATATATATATATATATTTATTAGAGAAGGAGACTGAAGCTGAGGCAGAGAGAGGCCTTGCAAAAGATGGATTCAGTGACAAGTGCTAGGTTTTTTTAAAAGATTATTTATTGGTGCAATATAATTATATAAAATAATGGGATTCATTGTTACTTATTCCTACATGCACACAATTTAACCATAGAATTTGGTTAGTTTTGTTCCCTGGTACCTTCAGGTGCTAGTTTTGATTGAACTTCTTTAATGTAATCTCTTTTCTATTGAAATACTTTACAATCTTATATTTACTGTTCCTATAATGTACATGTTGTTAACCCAAATAAAGTACTTCCATGGAATGCTTTCTTTTGGCTATAACTGAGCAAGGAGTATTGACAATGATTTATGCCTATTGTTTAGCATTCTTTACACAGACAGCTTTTTCTATTATATTAACCTACAATCTTCTCAATAGCCCTCTGAGTGTAGCTTAGTTCATCTTTTTTTTGTTAAAATAAAGAAAATAAATATTGGAGTTAAATATGACTTACCCAAGAGCTTATCATTAGTAGTGGCAGATGAAAAATTTAACGCAGAATAAGGAGTTCTTTACACCACCCCACACAACAGATAGTGCTTGGCCCATTTCCATCAAGACAAAATGTTTTTCAATATTTGACTCATCATTAGCACATTTATTAGAAAATTGAAAAAATAGAAGAACATATGAAATGCAAATTGCTCATTTGTAATGTCTCTGAGTTGAGGAATATATTAAAATATTGTAACACAAAATTTTGGATTATCCTTATGCTGTGATAGTTTGTGAAGCTAAATAAATAAATGATTATAATTTATAAAAGTCAAAGAGACAGGGCTGAGGATGTGGCTCAGGGGTAGAGCATATGCTTTGCAGGCACAAGGCCCTGGGTTCAATCCCTAGTACTTGGAAACATAAATTCAAGGGATAGTTTTTTCTTCTTGCAGTAACAACTGAAAAGTTCCTATAAGACCTACAGGTAACAATTATAATTCTGGACAAAATATAAAAATCAACTATCTCCAGGTACTGGAGAGTAACTAAACTGAGTAGAAACTGAAGGGGAGTTTGTACTTGGAAGAAGGGTGATTTTCCTGATTCTATGACTTTTCCAAGCATACACATTAGTCTCCACTAGATCAGCTAAAACTCATCTGTAAACCAGTCTAACTGGTTTGCAGTATCATAAATCAGAGCTGGGGTGACCAGCTGGAGAACAAGAGGGAAAAGATCTAACAGTTATTGAATGAGAACAGAAACTCTAAAGTCTGCAAATAAACTGTCCAAATCCCTGTCTGATCCATAAATTATGTGTGTATAGCTCAGCTATTAAGGAGCCTAATTAAGAATAAAATAATTGAATATAAAGTTTAGTGTGATTGCTGCCATTAACCACAATGAACATAAGAATTTGAATTTTATTTCATCCAAACTAATGACCTGTTAAAACAAACATACTAATCAAAACAACAAAAATACTCTTTCAAGTAATGTAACAGAATTCAGAGATTCTATCCTTTATAATAGACAGGAAACAATTCAAAATTATAAGCATATAAAGAGATGGAAAAATGTGACTTACACTTGAAAAAAAAAGCAGTTGAGGGAATGTGAACCTGACCTGGCTCAGGTGTTGGTATTAGCTTACAAGAGTTTAAAGCAGGTATTATAACTATATCAAGTATGTAAAGAAACAGATGGTCTATGACTTGTGATGGATCAACTTCACAATTGTCCAACTTTATGATATTATGAAAGCGATACAAATTTGGGAGAAATTGTACTTTGAATATTGATATTGGACTAATGATATTGAGTGTGATACTCATATAATGCTGGGCAGGTGGTGGTGAGCTGGAGTTCCTACTCAGCCACGTGATCATGAGGGTAAATAAATAACCTACAGTGCACTATGTTGCTATGTGCTGTGTAATATTTAGTGGGTTAAATATTAAATGCATTTTCAACTTATGATGGATTTATTGAGATGTAACCCCACTTTAAATTGAAGAAGATGTGGACTCTTAATGAATGAACTCACAAGAAGTCTTAACATAGAAACAACCTACAAAAAAAAAAGAAAGAATGAAATCAAAGTTTTAAAACTAAAAGCTACACTAAAATGATACCACATGTGGGTTTTATACAGCTTGAAGATGACAGAAGAAAGAACCAGTGAACTTCAAGCTAGACAAATATAAATTATCCAATCTTGAGAACAGGGAGAAAAAGTATTGGAGGAAGACAACAGAACCTCAGATATATGTACAATAATATAAGAATATATAATTTTTTAAAATGGGAGTGTTAAAAAGAGAGAATGAGCGAAAATATGTGAAGTAATGGTGAAAATATCCTAAATCTGATGAAAGATCATTCAAGAAGCTCAGTAAACCCAATTAACATAAGTATAGACATACCAATACAAAATTGCTAAAAAGTAAAGGTAGAACATTTCGAAAACAAAAACTGATGCAATACATAGCTCTACTTTGGATTATTGCTGTCATTAAAAAAAATAATAGAAATCAGTAGATAATTTTTAGAGTGCTAGAAGAAAAAAAAATGAAACTGTCAACCAGAATTGTATATTTACAGAGAACACCTTTAAAGAATCAAGGTGAAAAAAAATACATTTTAGATTAAAGAGAACCAAGAGAATCTGCTTTCAACAGACCTTTACCAAAAGGTAAAGTGAAATGATACCAGGCAGGAATAAAAAGCACTGGAAATTATAATCATATGAGTAAATATAAAATATGTTTTTCCCGTTATCTCTTTAAAACACGTATGACTGTTAAAAGAAAAATTTGAAATTTTGTTGTGGGGCTTATAACATATAATCTGAATACAAATGGTAACAGGGAGTTGGCAAATGATCCTGTTTTATTGGAGAAGGAGACTGTGAAGCTGAGGCAGAGGCCTTGCAAAAGATGGATTCAGTGGCAGATGCTAAGTTTTTTTTTTAAATTGTATTAGCACATTATAATTATACATAATTATGGGGTTGTTACATATTTATAAATAATTGCAAGGGTCTTATGTTTTACATGAATTGGTATACTTACCCTAAGTAGACTGTAAAGATTTAATTAAATATTACATTAACAAAAGCAACCACTATCATTAATAAATAAAACAAAATGAACTTATAAAATATATTTATTTACTCAAAATATAGGAAAGCAGGAACAGAGGAATGTAAATCAGTTTGTAGAAACAGGAAAACAATAAAGTAGCAGATTTAAATTTAATCATTTTATAATTACATTAAACATAAATGGGCTAAGCAGTTTAATAAAAAAATGGAAGGAGAATATAACTTCAATTTAAATGGTAATAGGAAATTTGAGAGATTGTAGTATAGTGACTTTGGTTCTGATTATAAAGATTATTGAATTCTAAACTAACAGTCAGAATTTTGTAGGCCCTCAGGTTTCTTGAATGGTTTGAATGTAGCCTTTCCTTACAACAGAGATATACAATCTCTAGAAAATATCGTTAAATTCAAATTTAGGGAAGCATGGATTGAGGTCTGAGTGCTTCCCTTCCAAGAGGGCTCTGATATCCTTATACAAATTGAGCTCTCTTCCCAATGTCTGGTTTTTGCATAAAATCTAATTTGCTATTTGGTCTATATAGAAATAACTCAGAGGGTCACTTGAATGATGCATTATAGGACAAAGAGGTTAGCTTCTTTATAGATCTTCTAGATTAGAGAAAAAGTTATATCCCACTATCAAATGACTGTTGTAATTCCCTTTAATGACTACCTTTCTTCTAGTTAGACTAGAAGCTGTCTTGTTTCTTTTTGTCATCCCAGCAAAGTAACCCAGTGCCTGGCAGGTAACAGACACTCAGCAAATATTTGCTAACCAGCTACCACAACATGACCCTTAGCCTTAGATGTAATTTACAACTGCCTATTGGATATATTTACCTGTATAGTATTTACCTGAATAGTATTTGCTAATTTTTAAAAAAGTAATTTTATCAATTTTTAATTTTATATAATAAAAGGTTCCCACTCTAAGTATGAAATTTTATAAATTTAATAAGTGTATATACCCATGTAACTACTACCCCATCAAGATATTTAATATTCAAAAAGTTCCCTCATGACACTTGCCAAAGATTGTGCCCTTACATTCCCTCCCCAAAGCCAGCTGATGTATTTGTTGATCTAGGTTGGCATTTTATATTAGTTTTCATTTTCTAGAATTTTATATAAATGTCATAATAATACAGTATGTACTTTTTTGTGTCTGGCGTCTTTTGTTCCTCATGTTGTTCTTGAGATTCATCCACATTGTTTCACATCTTAATAGTTTATTTAGAGTTTTATTCCATTGTTTCAATATGTTACATTTTAAATAATATTTACTTATCTATTGAGGACTATTTGGATTTTTTTCCATAGCTTTTGGCTAATGTAAATAAAACTGCTATCAACATTTGTAAACAACTGTTATTTGGACATATGCTTTCAGTTTTGTCTGTGGAAATACTTAAGAATAGAATGTCTAGATATTTAGGGTAGGTATATGCTCATATGAAACTTCAAATTATTTTAAATAGTGTTTTTACCACTTAACATTTGCCCCATGATGCATGAATTCTAGTTACTCCATATTTTCAGTAACACTTGGGATTGTCCTTCTTCCCTTCCTTCCTCTCTCCCTCCCTTCTTTCTTTCCTTCCTAATTTTAGTGGATAAGTGACAGCATCTCACTTTAAAATTCACATGACCAAACCTCATATTCATATTCTACCCACTCTTACCTGCTACCACTTTGGACTTTTATTTTTAAACAAAATGAATAATATTATGTTAGAAAATATTAGTGACAAAACAACAACAAACCATTAATTGAGCATTTATCACTCTCCTAACTTTAGAGTATAAGCTTCATGATGGTAAGACATCTTGTTCTTTGCTGTATTTAGCACAGTGCTGGAGGCTTAAAATGTACATTTATTAGCTATTTGTTGTTGTGCAGTAAATTATTTGAAATCTTAGCAACTTAAAGCAACAAACATTTATTGTCTTACACTGTTTCTGAGCATTAAGATTGGGGAGCAGCTTAGCTGAGTGGTCATGGGTCAAGGTTCTTCAGTCAAGCTATCAGCTGGTGCTGTAGTCACTTGAAAGCTTGCTTGGGGCAGAAGGATTGGTTTCCGAGTCCTACTGCCAGGGCTACTTGCAAGAAGCCTTGATTCCTTGGTAGTTGTTGTCAGTAGTTTTCAATTCTTTTCCAGGTGGAACTCTTTGTTGGGCTGCTCCATGTGGTTCCTAAAAATGAGTGAGCAAAGAGAGAAAAAGCTAGAAGTTAGTTACAGAGATCAACCAGGAGGTGGGGATTGTTGAGGACCATCCTGAATGCCAGCTAATATAGTGCGTAATGAATATTTGTTGATTAAACTGATGTTTGTTTGACATACACCATCTCATTTTATCCTCATAACAATCCCATGGTCCATTTTCCTCAACTGAGAAATGATGAAACTGACATTTACAAATTTAAGCAACCTGTCCAATTCTTCTAAGTTCTTAGGTAGCAGTTAAACCAGAGTTCAAACGACTGTAAAAGTTATGAAAAATGGTTCACAGTGAAAAGAAATCAAATTATTCTAAGAAGACATTGATTTATAATCTTATTTTTCTTTGAGTCAAACTCATTTGTATATGGGGAAAGAAGTTAGAAATTGTATCAATAGGAAAACCCCCAAACTCTGCAGGGGAATAGAGTTAATTGGTTCCCTATTTTTGTAGTTGAAAAGGTGTTGGTATCATTCTCTCCTACCATGCTTTTTCCAATTCTTGGCAGATCCTTGGAAACAAAGAAAGTCAAATTCTTTCGATGACTGCCCAGAGTCAATTCAACAAAAATCTGGCAACTAAATATTGTGCAAATAGCACTGTGGTAGCTTTCAGGATCTACAAAACACGTGATAGAGAATATGCTGTTCAAGAGGTCACAGTCTTTGGGATTTAAGGTGATAAAAACATAATTATAATCAGAAAAGAAAGAGTAAGCATCATGGCACATAGGGAATGCTTATTGGGATTTGAGTTTTTAAAAGACCAGTTGTGTCTTTAAAATACATTTGTTTAGTAAAATAATTCAATGTGACTATCTCTGACAATCAGCCTTAGATTAAACTGGAAGAGGTCAATCTTCTTTAATATTTTAAAAAGCAGTTGGAAAACTTTGCAGAGGTAGTAACTTGTTTTTCTTTCCAGATGTCTGTGTCAGGAATTACAGTTATCCATAAATGGTGGCAGAAAATGGGCTTTATACACCTTTTAGAATGCAAAAATGAAGGAGGTATAGAGTAGGTATAGAGATTCAAAGTCCAGGTAGTCTTACTTGAGAATGTTAGAATCCAAACAGGAGAAGACTGAAATGATAGCTAAAATGACAGTGCCGGGGTAGAAGTAAATTGGAAAGACTCCTCACTCTAGGTAGAAACAAGCCTTCTAGTAGAGTTTAAATAATTATATGTTCCTTTTGCCACTTCATCAGGGAACCTATCTTGTGCACAATTGCAACTGACTGGAGAGTCTGTGCAGAAATAAGTTTTAGACAAAACTTTGCCCTGGCCATTGAACAAGCTCAGGTTTCAGCCTTCTGCAGAAAGTTAAAACTCCCTGGCTCCAGATTTTAACTGTGGCAGCTTGGGGGCAGGAGTGACTTTGGTAGAGCTAGAGTGGCGTTGTGGCAGAGGCCACAGGTGGAACCTGGATTTTGAATATACTTGAACGGGAAGGTGTAGGATGCAGAGGCTAGGGAGGGGGAAACCTGGGTGGGCCACGTGTTGGGGAGTCAGATAAGACACCTAGAAAACAACCTATGAATGTACTTCGCCTAGGCCTGACCGGCAACCCTTTGTGAAGGAGCAAGTTTGGTTAATCCAGATGGGAATTGTGGTGCAAAACTTATAGAAGAGGGGCAGATCAGGTTTCTGGCCATGCTACAAGGAAATGAGTCTGGGCGAGGGGCGAGGTCTTTATCACTAAATAGCCGGCCTCCCAGGCCCTCCCTTGCTGCTCTTTGGGTTGCAATCTACTCTTGGTAAGGAACAGAATGTTGCTGCAGATAGGCTAAAAACCACCTGGCATCCCCAACCTGTCCCTTTTCCAAAGTTCTCCGCTCCGCACCAGCTGGGGTTAGTCGCCAGAGGCTAACATCTGGCGGGGATTGGAACCGGCTCAAAAACGCACCTTTGCCAGCTCGCTCTCTACTTGGGTTCCTGGCCTGGTGCAGCCGCGTCCAGGAGAATCTTGCAGACTCTTAGATTCCTATGTTTTTGTTGGTATGAAGAGGACAGTTTTCTATGACTATGTAGAAGAACAATGATTACTGAAGATGCGCTCCAAGGTTACAAAGCCTACAGAAGGTGCCCGCGGAATAGAGGGCACAGCTGGGGCCGGGGGCGCAAGGCTTGGCTTGGAGCGCCCGCTCACACTTCTGGGGCTACCGCGATCAGCTAGCACACAAGTGGCCAAGAAAGAAGTAGCGAGGGCGGTGCAGACACCTCAGAACATCAAATCGCGTAGCTCCTGGCGCCCACAGCGCGCAAGGTACGCTTCGGGGCGGTCCTGCATGACCCCGGAAGAGAAAGTTGTTTTGGGGAAGGGGAGAGAGGAGAGCGTGTTAAGTAGTACTGAAAATCAAAAGTTGTGCTGCTCCCGTCAGGCCGCCACTTCTCCGCCTCGTCTCAGCCTCAAGCCCCTTCAGAATCTGGATTCCTCAAAAGGTTCGATGCTCTCCCAGCCTGAGCCGGAGTTGGGGGACTGTGAGCCGCCCGCCAGCAGGTTTCTCGACCCTCTCCAGAACCAGGTCTCCAGGAAAACCCGGAGCGGAGCATCCCTCGGGCGGCTGGGAAACGCCCTCGGCGAGCGCCCAGCGGCGCGCATGCTCAGAACGCGCGGCGGCAGCGAGTAGGAAGCTTCCCGCGGCGGCAGCAGCGGCGGCAGGAGGGTGGGAGGGGATTAGCCGGCTGGCGGGCGGGGGCGCGAGGACGCGGGAGGAATCCCGCCCTAGGTTCCTTTGAGCGTTTTGACCACGAAGCCCTTCGCAAGGAGCGAGTGAGCCTGGGGCCAACTACGAGCGCGGAGCCTGCAGCGGGCGGCGCGGAGCGGGGCCCCTGGGCAGAGCGGGCTCAGAGCCCGGGGCTCCGCGGCTCGGGACCCGGCTCCGGCGGGGGCGGCGATGTTCCACTGCATCCCCCTGTGGCGGTGCAACCGTCATGTGGAGACCATCGACAAGCGCCACTGCTCTCTCGTCTACGTCCCTGAGGAAATCTACCGCTATGCTCGTAGCCTGGAAGAGCTTCTGCTGGACGCGAACCAGCTCCGCGAGCTGCCCGAGGTGAGTGGCCGGCCTTACCTGCTCCCCGGTCTCCGAGAAGCGTGCCCAGTCCTTTCCCACTCCTCTTTTCCTTTCTCCCCTGTCTTTCCCACCTTTTAGATCCCGGCCGGCCGGCAGGTCCAGCGGGTAACACTTCTTCCTGCATTCACCTGCTTCTTTCTTCCCTTGCTTCTCCAACTCCATCCTTCCCAGTAAAAGTTCTTTTACATTTTATACAAAGGTGCTTGATTTCTTCCGAGTAGTTACTAGAGCTTGTACGATTGGAGAAACGTTCTGGGCTAGTAAGTAGCTTAGTTGCATGTCTAGGTACTAACACCAGGTACTTGTGCCCGGGCAGGTGAAGAGCCAGGTGGCTCAGAATGTTCCCAGCTGGAAGCAACCGAGCGCCGCATCCCGCCCCCGGGGGACGTTCCCTTCACTTTGTTTCCCCATCCGGGGCTCATCCCCCCTTTCGCCGAGCAGGTCTCTGAATACCTTGGGACCTGGGCAGCGCGCGAGTGAACCGCACCATCTCGCACTATCTCGGCATCTTAGCAGGAATGTGCTCCAGGCCTTATCGCGGATGGGCTGTGCTCTGAAGAGCTGTAGCTCGGCCAGTTTGCTGTGGCCCTGGCAGCGCAGCGAGATAGGGGGCAGGAGGAAAGACGGGTCTGGGGAACTGGGCACAGGTGCCCAGATACCCAGATGCCAGCCACTTGGGCCTTGCCTGCATGGACCTGTTGCGTGTTAGGCGCTGCGGTGAACGTCATCAGAGACTCCGCGGGTGGATCAGCCTGGCAGCTGTCTTTCCCAGAGCAACCGCGTTCAGCCTGCTTACTTCTGACCTTTCAGTAATGTGTTAACCTCTTCAGAGATGTTTACGTAAATTAATCACTCCTTGGCGGCCGAACTTTCAAGGCATATGCAGATTTTTTTTTTTCTTTTTCTTTATTGAAGGGTCAGGGAACTGCAAACTGTTAGTCCTAGGGTTTGCCTGGGGAATTCAGCTTGGGGAACTTCTAAGGAGGAAGATATCCCTAATTCAGGTGTGTGCAGGAAGTCGTTGTGTGCCAATCCAAAGGTGTGCAGGAAGTAGGGAGACTGCTGGGAGGCGGGGAGAGGACCTGGAGGCCTCAGCGTCGTCGGAACTCAAGTTATCTTGCTTGGTCTTACAAACCGCGTCATTGTTACAGAAACCCTGGTAAATGTTCTGGCTCATTAAAATGACCTGATATGTTCTCCAGCGCTGATAGTCTTTTGAAAAATCAGAACGGTGTTTTTCTCAGCATTTCGTGCGTTGTTATTCTTCTTGGATGAACTTTCCTTGGTTTGTGTGGGATTGATTGGATGGTTTGCTCTGTGTAATCACAGAGATTATCCTCACCAGGATCTTTGCAAAGCCCCCAGGCTTTATTTAGCTTAGAAGCAGAAAAGCCATCCAGTTCTCTCAGGCATTTATTATTTTGCAGGCATTTTCAAATACATGGTTTTGTCTGGATTTTAGCTTCCTTAAATGTGACTGAAGCGACACACTCACTGCTTTAAATTATATAATTTTAGGCATTGAAATGTGGAATATGTAATATAATACATTTCTAGGACTTCAGAATTAAGTTATTAAAGATTGAGTGAAAAGTTACTCAACTAGAAACCTTGCAGTCCTTGCCCTTCTTGGTGGTTGCTTTCTGTCGTAGAACGGGAAGATTTCTTTTGACTGAGTTGCTTTTTTATTCCCTTCTGCCGAATTTGTAGGTTTTCCTGTAATGTTGGAGAATTTAGCTTGGCATGGAAATTATAGGTTTTAGAAATGTCAGGTATTCTACTGATCGTAGAAATGGAAACTCAGAAGCTCAAAATAAAGTCTAATGGCACTCTGTAAATACAGTAAATATTTCAAAGGCTAGAGGTGGTCTTGCTTATTGGTAATTATTGCTCTTAAAGCTCCAAAGTTAGTAAGTTTTGAGGTCATGTAAGATCTGTTTCTCCCTGACTTATTTCACCATGGGTACTTGGATGTGTACTTACAAGAAATGAACAGCCACCTTGAAAGCAGATATTTGTTCCATTCACAATCTTTTCTTCCATTGCTTCACCTCTGAGATCTGTATAACTCATGGCTTCTGCTCACTGTTGCTCCTGCTTTCTACTTGAAACTCCTGTCTCTTCAACTTGCCACACAGTTGCTCTTTTGCTGATAAACCTCAAAGATCCTTGTGTGGTGGCCTTACCAGGTGTGTATTCCTCTCTATGTAATTTGGAAACACAGCCAAAGGGGAAGCCTGCACCCCCTACCCTGACAAAAGGTTTCAAGATAATGACAGATACCTTCCCTCCACTAAAAGGCCTACAGCCTCTCATTTGCTTCAACATCTACATTTTACAAATTGAGACTCAGAATTGAAGCGACTTTCTCATAGCTATTCAGCTGGTTAGGTGCATTCTCTGCCCTCATTCATTCAGGTGTGTACCAACTACAGCTGCTTTGGGCACCTAGCAGGAATCTACCCTGTTTTGTTTCTCACACATATCAAATCTTCAATTATTCAGTGCCCCCTTTCATACTCACCTCATTAAAACTTGGTCTTGTCAAACAAACATTTATTAAGGATGATTCGATACTTATTGGGAATATAGAGCTTAAAGGAGCTGTGATTCCGATGTGCTGTTCACAGCCTTGTGGTGAGGCAGATTACTTCGGTTCCAGATGTGGTGAGTATGGGGTGAGGAGGGCACCAGAGTTCATTACACCACACTCAGCAGATGTGATGGTCACTCACCTGAGGCCCAACTCATCTGTACCAGAGGATGCCTCAGAAGCTGTGTTCTTAGCTTGCCACCTGTTATCTCACCATCCTTTCCCATCCATCTGCTGCTCCCCTCCTCTCTACTCCCTGAATCCTAACCCTAACAGGGATGATGTCACTTTAACCTCTTTGAAGTGCCTGCATGATTTTGCTCACCCTTTTGGCACCTAGTAGGTCTTAATCAATAAGCAGTTATATATTTGTTGAGTGAGTGTTCCTGGGTCTTGTAGAAATCTTCCTCTTCTGCTTCTTTCCCTTGCATTAAGCATATCTCTACTCCAGCATCTATCCTTTTCTTATATAGTCAGAGTGTTCAAGGTGGAAGTGACTTCCATGTGAAGGCCATCCATGTGGGGAAGTTCTTTTGTTTGGCTTGTGCTATGGGATCTTGGCTTCCTCTGTGTGTGCCCACATTTCAGATGCCATTGTTTTTTCCTCGGTGTGCATCATTTCTCAAATATCTCCAAATATGTGTGCTTTACTCTGATCTCTTTAGCACTATTACAGTGCTTAGTATAGTAGGCAGCAAATACTTTGAGTGAATATGTTCAAGACTTCCCAGCTTGAAAAATTGACTTTCATCTGTTAACCCCCTTAGTGTTCAGTTGATCTTTTGTAGATTGTCAGATAACATTATCTCAAATATCTGCTCCCTGTAGTCATTCTTTCTCATATCTTGCTTTATTTTTTCCTCGCTCTTGGGCACTTATCATTACCTAAGTTCATACTTTGTAGTTAGTTATTTACTGGTTGCTTGTCTGTCTCCCCAAGTAGAACACAAGCCTTGCAAAGGCAGGGATGCTCATTGCTGAACCCAGGGAAGTACCTGGTGCGTTGTGAGCTCAAATCCTTGTTGCATGATGAGACCTCACATGTCGTTATCAGTAGGATGCCCCTGTTTCTTAAGCCATGATAATTCCTTTTCTTTTGGTCTGACTTGGTCAGTTGAAACTAATAATGACAAAAATCTTTTTTCAGAACCTGGGAGCCTTTGCTGAGTCTTTAT